GACCAGTCCCTGGACATCATGCTTGGTAAAGTAGAGGCTTAACAAACAAGGGGAACGCTCTTAGGGAGAAGGGTTGATGCAGTGGCTGAAACAGTGTGCTCAAACATATCATTATGAGTGCGGCACAGCACAGAGCAGTGTTTGTCTGTTGTGCAAGGGGCTACGGTGAGTGGGAATGAATTCAACAACACCTAACAATAATAATCTTCATGGGAACAGATCTTTCTCCTGAAGAACTGCTGGATGGATTGGGATTGCCCATCTTTCAATTACCAGTTGAGCACTTAACTGTCTGGGCCACCAGGGATCCTTTAGAATTACCATGTTTTTGTTGTTATGTGCCATTGAGTCAGACCCGACTCATAGCGACCCCTCCTTGGGTTTCCGAGGCAGTATCACTACAGAAGTAGATTGCTCAACTTCCTTCCGAGGAGTGGCTAGCGGGTTTGAACCTCTAGCCTTCTGGTTAGCAGTCAAGTGCCTTAGGCACTATACCACCAGAGCTCCGAAGATATAGATATAGAATTACCATATCACCCAGCAATTCCGCTCCTAGGTATCTGCCCAAGAGACCGGAAAGCAGGGACTCAGATCTTTACACACCAGTGTTGAGTGCGGCATCTTCCACAACGGCCAAAAGATGGAAACAACCTGAGTGTCCACAACAGGTGAACAGAAAGACACATGGTCCATCCATATGATGGAACCGTAAATTCAGCCAGTAATAGTCATGAAGCACAGAACTGAGCAAAGGAGGGTGAGGATGGTGGGACTACTCAAAGAACATCATCAGTGTCATGGACCTGTACAAAATCATACAGGTGTGAACTGCTGAGCTGGTGTGTGGTTTGCTGTGCATACTCTCAACAAGAAAATCAAAAAAACTCATGCAGCACTGACCCACGCTGTGTCAGATAAAGCTGAAAAACATGATGCTGAGTGAAAGGAGCCAGACACCAATGGCCACAGAGAATATAATCCTACTCACGTGAGAAATCTAGACTAGGCAGGTCCTTGGACAGCAGGTGGTGGGTGGCTGTCAGGGGCTGGGAGAATGGGAGAAAGAAGAGGGACTGTCAATGGGTTGTCTGTTGTTCCTGGGTGCCATGGAGTCCGTTCCAACTCTTAATGACCCCACATGACAAAGCAGAAATGCCCCCTAGGGTATTTTTTATCCTTTTTTTTAACATTTTATTGTGTTTTAGGTGAAAGTTTACATAGCAAGTTCGTTTCCGTGTAACAAATTCGCACCGAATAGCTCAGTGACATTGGCTGTCATCCCCCCCTGCAGCGTGCCAGCCCGCTCCCCACCTCCTCCCCGCCTGCCCTGTCCATCCCTCCAGATTCCCTCCCCCTCCCTGCTTTCTTCTCTTTACTTTGGGGGCAAATGTGGCCTGTTCATCTCACAGAGTTGATTGTTCTGAGAAGCACATTCCTCATGGGTGTTACTGTTTATTTTATAGGCCAATCTATTATTTGGCTTCAAGGCAAAGAATACCAGAAAGATGTTTATTTGTGTTTTATTGACTATGCAAAGGCATTTGATTGTGTGGATCATGACAAATTATGGATAACATTGAGAAGAATGGGAATTCCCGAGCACTTCATTGTACTCATGAGGAATCTGTACCTTGACCAGGAGGCTGTCGTTCGAACAGAACAAGGGGACACTACATGGTTTAAAATCAAGAAGGGAGTGCGTCAGGGTTGTATCCTTTCTCCACACTTATTCAATCTATATGCTGAGCAAATAATCCGAGAAGCTGGACTATATGAAGAAAAACGTGGTATCAGGATTGGAGGAAGAATCATTAACAACCTGAGATATGCAGACGATACAACTTTGCTTGCTGAAAGTGAGGATGACTTAAGGCACCTACTGATGAAGGTTGAAGAATACAGTCTGCAGTATGGATTACGTCTCAACATAAAGAAAACAAAAATCCTCACAACTGGACCAATGAGCAGCATCACAATAAATGGAGAGAAGATTGAGGTTGTCAAAGAATTCATGTTGCTTGGTTCTACAATCGATGCTAATGGAAGCAGCAGTCAGGACATTAGATGACGTGTAGCATTGGGAAAGTCAACTGCGAAGGAACTGTTTCAAGTGCTGAGGAGCAAGGATGTCTCCTTGAGGACTAAGGTGCGCCTGACACAAGCCATGATATTTCCAATCGCCTTGTATGCATGTGAGAGCTGGACAATGAATAAGGAAGACCGAAGAAGAGTTGATGCTTTTGAGTTGTGGTGGTGGCGAGGAATGCTGAAAGTACCATGGACTGCTAAAAGAACTAACAGATCTGTCCTGGAGGAAGTGCAGCCAGAATGCTCCTTGGAAGCAAGAATGGCCAGACTTCATCTCACCTATTTTGGTCATGTTGTAAGAAGGGACCATTCCCTGCAGAAGGATGTCATGCTTGGTAGGGTGGAGGGTCAACGAAAGAGGGGGAGGCCTTCAAGGAGATGGATTGATATGGTGGCTGCGATGATGGGCTCAAGCATAGCAGGGATTGTGGGGCTGGCATGGGATCGGGCAGTGTTTCGTTCTGCTGTGCATGGGGTCGCTATGAGTCAGAAATGACTCGACGGCACTTAACAACAACAACAACAATTATTTGGCTGAAAGGTGACCTCAGGGAGTGGCTTCAGTTCCTGATTAAAAGGGTGTCTCAGAGAGATTCTCTCAGGGGTTCCTCCAGTCTCTATCAGCCCAGTAAGTTTGGACTTTTTTTTTTTTTTTTTTATGAATTTGAGTTTTGTTCTATGTTTTTATCCCATTTTGACTGGGACCTTCGATGGTGTCCCTGGTTGGAGCAGTTGGTAGTGGTGCTGGGCACCATCTAGTTCCTCCGGTCTCAGGGTAGAGAAGGCTGTGGGCCATGAGGCCTGTGGACTGATTGTTTCTTTGAATCTTTTGTTCCCTTCACTCTCTGTTCTGGTTCCCTAGTGTCACTCTGACAAGAATATACCACAAATGGGATGGCTTTAACAAATAGGAGTTTATTCTCTTACAGTTTGGAGGCTTTAAGTCTAAGTTCAAAGTACCAGGTTCTAGGGGTGGGTGAAAGCCCCTCAGCCTTGGGTTTCAGCTCTGCCTTCTGCTCCCGGTCCACTGAAGCTGGAGGCTTTCTTTACTCAGACAGCTGCTGGCTGCTGAAGCTGACAAGCCCAAGGTTGACAAGTAAAAAGGCACAGTCCCAATGTTACCAAACCACACAGCAGGCCATTAGTTCAAGTTCATTGTAAGGCCCAGGCTGGCAGAGCATGGCAGGCTGCTGAATAACAACACAGCTACATGCAAGGTCCAAACGTGCCATAAGCTAGAGACTATCCCCAAGGCTACTGCTTATATATGGGAAGCAGACCACATCCCAAAGGCAGCTACTCAGCTGCTTGTGGTATATCCCATCATGGAGTTGACTGCCAGTCTCATCATGGAGAATAACTACCACAGCTGCCCAGCCACTCAACCAGGCCCAGCCAAGTTGACACACAAATTTAACTACCACACTCTCCTTTGTACCACACAAGAGGAAACCAATATTTGTACTTGATAGCTGCTCACAAGCTTTGAAGTCCCCAGATATCAGTCACAAAACCAGGATGTGGAACCAGGATTATCTTTATAAACCATGTCATGCCAACTGACCTAGTTGTCCCCACACTGATGGCCCTTAGCCTTCAAACCCAGTAAATCAGTACCATGAGGTGTTTGGCTATGTCTAAGATGTTTCTTTAGCATGCCCCCTATGGGCTCTATTATATATATAAGAATATATATGTCGCATATACAAATAGAAATATACAAATGCCCACAAATATACCCATATATGCACACATGTGTACCCCCCACGCCCTTCCACACTGTGCAGCACATGTACCTTCCTAAGGAACCACTCACAAGTCCACGGAGGGTCTTGTAGGCTGCAGTCCTTACAGAGCACATTCCTGGATCTTTCTCCCAAGGACCCACCAGGTGTGCTTGAACTGCAGGCATTGTGGTTAGTGGATGAGCGCTTCACCGCATCATCAAGGCCCTTTTTGTTAGTGGGTTCAGAGTTTATTTTCATTTGGGGAGGAGGGTGTTACTGAGAATGTTCCGGAACCAGGTAGAGGAGCTACTTGTCCTGTGAATGTGCCAAATGCCACTGAATTGAACACTAGGAAATGGTGGAAGTGCTCAATTTGGTGTGATGTGTGTTTGAGCACAATTAAAAAAACATCTGAGCGTGAAGTCACCCCCACCCAAAGCCAAGCTTCCAGGAAGTGAACAGTCAGGGATTAGAACCTGGGTGGGGAAGACCAAATTGAGGGATGAGGTGGCCGACTGTGTTCCCCACTCCTTGTCATGGTCCCCAGAAGCAGTGGAGTCCAGCACAGCCTTGGCAGGGGCAGGGCTGGATGTTGTTACTGGGGTCGAGTCTTTCCATCTGTTTCCCCATCTGAGAAACAGGCGCGGGCCGTGCGTTGGCGCTCTCCCAGAATTAAGCCGGCAGGCCTGGGATCCCCAGCAAGGCTGTCTTGGTGAAGGGACCCTAGGTCTGGTTCCTCCACTCCCCAAAACACTCACAAGCCCCAGGCTCAAATTCAGTTTGTTTTTATTTTTAAAAAGTCCAGATTAAGCAGTGGCCGCAGGGGTCACCTCCATGAGGGCCGTCAGCTGGGCCAGGCAGGGCTGGTCAGTACCAGTCTCCCGGGACTCTGGAGTGCTGGAACGGGAGGGCGACAGGCAGAGGCCCCGGCCACCCGGCCAGAGCCCCAGAAGGGGCCCGCTCCACGCTGCATTCTTGTGGCAAGCTGCGGCGCTGCGCAGGGTAGCGGTGTGGCTTGTTGGCTGTCCCGTGTCGGGGCCGGAGTGGGCGGGTGTACGTGCTGCAGCGGGACTCCCCCTACCCGTGTCCTGAGGCCACGTCTAGGGGGAGCCCTCTTCCGTGTCCTTGTAGTGTGTGGCAGTCGTGTGAGCCATGCAGACCTTGTTGGGGCCCTGTGGCCATAGGCCGGGTGAGTGCTGCAGAGGTTAAAAGCTACAGGGGGTGGTGTAGAAATTTAATTTTGGGGAGCTAGAGCCCCCAAGGTGCAGGATCGGGCTGGCCCCAAAGGCGGACCCCTGGCCCCTCCTCCATGGGGCGGGGCAGGAGAGGGCCGGGCCCACAGCTTTGTCTTCTCCGGAGCCGTGGGGGCCGACACCTTCACAGGTGTTCACTGGCGACCTGGGCCAGGATCTCCTTGATGCGGACGATGAGTTTCTCGTGTCGGGCGGGGTCGCGCTCGATGGCGTCGTGTAGCCGCGCCATGTAGAAGTCCAGGGTGCTGAGCGTGGGCGTCTCGCCCGTGCCTGGGGGACAGGGATTACAAGAACGGGGCGTCAGCGCGGTTCGCGCGTGCGTTGGCGGGGTCTTAGGGAAGCGGAGAGTCGGTCAGTGTGGGCGGGGCGCGGGAGGTTAAGCCAGATCAGCCGAGGCCGCCAATGGAGCAGGCAGGGTGAGCGGAATCACAGGGGGCGGCACCTGCGAGGGGCGGGGCGAACACAGGGGGCGGAGCTAGAAACTGACCCGGGGGTTGGGGGTCACGGGGCGGGGCCTCAGAGAGCGTGGCGGGGGTGCTGGTGAGTGCATCGTGGGAAAGACCAGGGGTCAGCTTGGACGCACTGGGCTTGGGGCGGGGCTCATGACGGTCGGGGATAGGACGTGGGGGGCCAGGCCGGTTAGTAGCGGGGCTCGAGGCCTTTGGAGAAGAGGGTCGTGGCCATCAAAGGCAAGGTCTGGTGGCTGGGGGCAAGGCCAAGGGATCGGGGTTGGCTGGTGTGTGTGTATGGAGGGGAGGGCGGCAAGACCCGGATGGTTGGGATAGGTCAGGGGCGGAGCCGGGGTGGCCGGGACGTGGCTCGTGGCACTCGGGGGCGGGGCCTCCGCACCGGGCACAGGCAGCGAGGCGAAGCTGGCCGTGAGCGCCTGGCGCACCGCCTGCAGCTGCTGCTGCAGCGCCAGCGTCCGCCGCTCCTCCAGCGCCAGCTCCTGCTCCAGGCGCTCGCGCGCGCTGCTCATGCTCTGCGTGTGCCGCTGCAGCACGGCGTTCTGCTCCTCGAAGGCCACGTTCATCTTCCGCAGGCGCCTCAGCTCTGCCTCCCGCGCTGCAGGGGGGTGGGGGCAGGTCAGTTCCCAGGCCGGCCAAGGGGAGGAGGGCAGCTCCCAGTGGTAAATTCCACCATCCGCTGCCTCCTGTCTTGGAGCCCGCAAGCCCATCCATCCCTTCCTCCTTCACTGGGTGTGCACCTGCAAGCCAGCCCGGAGGTCCTCACTCACCTTTATTTTGGTCCAAGAACTCTTCAGTGAAGATGGGGACGTCAAAGGTGGAGAAGCCGTCGCAGTCCCCACCCTGGGACAAAAGGTCAAGGAGACAGCTTATTTTAGGGGCAGCCACGCCCCTTCCTGAGATGTCCCCTAGCCACCTGGGCCTGAAAGGTCCAACAATTCTCCCAGTGTGAGACTGCCCGGTGTGCATCTGCTGGGGTCATCTGAAAGAGGAGAGGCTCACCAGGGTCCAGAACCCTCAGACCTTTCTCCCCCAGAAGTGAAGACCCCTGGTGCCCGATTTGGAGGAGGGGCACTTACCTTGTGTCCATTCAACAGGGTGTTCATGAGCCCCGAGCCTGAGTCCTCTGGTGGAGGAGGGAAGAGGGCAGTTAAATTTCTACACCACCTCACCTGCTCTGACCTCACACTTTGCACATGCTGTTCCCTCTGCCTGTAACACCCTCCCGACCCTCCCCCTCTACCGACTCCAAGTCAGGCTCCCCCATTCCCTGCCTCTATGGGTTTGTGTGTGCCTCATCTCTCCTCCTCCATCATAACTGCCTGTGTGTCTGTCTTCCCCCACCAGACTCAGCCCCGTGGAGAGGGTGGGATGGGGCCTGCCCAGGCCACTGTTGAGTCCCGGAGGTGTGTATCAGTGGCCATCCCAGCACTGAATTGCCCAGCTGCTGAAGCACCGCCCACCTTTTTTGATCTTCTTTTCCTGGATCTTCTCAGTGCACATCTTGTAGGCCTCCGACTGCTGGTAGGCCCGCAGCTCCTTCATGTACAGCTGCTTCTCCCGCTCAGCCTCATCCAGGTACCGCTGGCAGGGGTATCACCATCACTTAGCTCTCACTACTGAACATTCCATAGCTCCCTGCTGCCCTTGGCACAAAGCCCCATTCCTCCACCTGTGGCTCAGGGCTACTCCAAGCTCTCCAACCTCAACCCAGCCTCCCCTCCCACACGACAACCCTGAATCCATTCTGAGCGCCCCCCGGTCCAGGCTGTGCTGACGCCTGGACGGCCTCCTGCACTTGCTTCTGCCTGTGGAATTCCATCTGAAGGAGGGAACTGGTGGTGTGTTTTGGGTTACATTTCCTTGATGATTTTGCAATTTTACAATGAATGAAAACAGTTAAGTTTCACGTAAAAGTCCAGTCCCAATCCACTTCTTCAGACCTAGCCACACTGATGGGTAGGTTTTAGTCCTTTTCTTGCCTACTGCTCCCCTCTCCTCCAACGAGCTGTTGTTGCTGGGTGCCACTGAGTTGATTCCGACTCACAGTGGCACCATGTGACACAGTAGAACTGCCTCATAGGCGTTTCTTGGCCATAAGACCTGCAGATCGCCAGGTCTTTCTCCTGTGGAGCCGCTAGGTGGGTTTGAACTGCCAACCTTTCGGTTATCAGACCAGCACTTAACTGTTACACCAAGCTGGAGGTGGTCAGTTCTCCAGGCAGGAAGAGTACATTTTGTGCCCCATCCTTTGGCGGTATGGCTGTCCCAGGGTGCCCCAGTGGTGGAGGTGAGGTCAAGGGTCCCAGCAGGCCCACCTGCTTCTCGGCTGGCTGTAGCTTGCTCCACTCAGCGCCCAGCATCTTGGTGATCTCGGGGAAAGGCAGGTCTGGGTGGCGCGTGCGGATCTGCTCCCGGCGCTCATTCAGGAAGCGCACATAGCCCGTGACAGGTGCCTTGGGCCCATTGGGCAGAATCTTCTTCCGCTTCTTGCCCTTGGGCCAGCCTCGCTTCTTCACGGGCTGCAGCACAGCACAGTATTGGGAGGGGCCTGGAGGCTAGGGAAGGGCCTGGGGAGTGGGTGGGGCAAGAGTGGGCGTGGCCTAGTCAGCCGGTGGGACCTGGAAGGGCTTAAGGGCTTGGGATATGGCCTGGTCAGGAGTTAGGAACTCTGAAGGGTAATGGGGACCTGGCCAGGAATGCAAAGGCCAGAGATACTGGCCACTGGATTTGTTCCAAGGATGGAGCTGGCATCTGTTGTAGGCGTGGGCTGCAGCAGTAGGCGTGGGTTATCGCAGGAAGCAGGGCCGTAGGATAATGGGAAGGTAATTCTCAAAAGGAGGTGAAAACTGGTGGGTGGGCGGGGCCTTCATTGTGGGCCTACTTAGTATTAGCCAATGGGCGGAACCTGAACCTGTTTGGGGCGTGATGTCTGGTACAGGTCTGGAAATCTGGGCTATGGGTGGAGCCACAATGGATTCAAATTGACCATAGGGGCAGGATCTCAAGGTTGCTACAGGCTGGACCCAGGGCATCCCCCCACACACCGTACAGGGCGTCTCACCTCCTCCTCGTGGGTTCCCTTCTCTCCAGCCCTAGGGCCCTCGCCTCGCTCTTGTTTGACAGCCACCACGAAAGCCCCATGCTGGCCCGGAGCTTTGCCGCCCGCCGGCCTGGAGCCACCGAATACCAGGGTCACTCCCTGCCCCTAGACCCTTCCCTACCCCAACCCTGACCCCCGCGCTTTTAGGCACCACCGACGGCGGAGCTGGAAGCGAGGGGACGCCAGTCGTGGGAGATGCAGTCGGGGGGACACAGAGGTCGGGGAGAAGCACTAGGGGTTATAACTAGGGTGAGAGGTTGGGATCTTGCGGAAAGGGGGCGGGGACGGGGCGGGGTCGAACCTGTGGGGACAGAAGGAGGGGACTTGACACAGGAGAGGGAGTCAAGACCCCGGGTGCGGGGGTCGAGGAGCTCAGACAGGGAATCGGAGCTGGGGTTGCAGCCCCAAGTTGGCTGGACGGGCGGGGGAGGGGAGGAGAGGGGACGCGAGGGGACGTCGTACTCACGCGGCTGCCGCGCCGGGCTGTTTGGGGCCGTGGGACATGGCTGCTCCCCACCGGACCTGAAACACAAGACACGGGGGCGGAGGTGAGGAGCGCCCCAAGGCGGATCCCAGTCGGGGATCTCCGATGGAGACCCTGGGAATGCCGGGCCCGGGACGCCTAAGGGGGATGGATCTGGGGCGGGGAGGCCTCGAGGGCGGGCGTCCCGGGATCCTTTGTTGGACGATCGCCTCCCGGGAGACCCGGGCCCGCTTACTCCCGGCCCGGGAAGTGCCCTGCCCCGGCCTTAGGACCCCCACACCCCCGCCCCCAGCCCAGGCCCAGAGTTCCGCGGCTGTTTTCACCTCCAAAGAAACTTTCCCGGAGCTTTTGGCTGCTGCGACGCTCCAACCAACCGCCCCGCGCCCCGCCCCGTCCCGCCCCTGCATGCTAATGAAGCCCTTCATGAGAACGCTGATTGGATGAGAGCTCCCCTTGGGGCGTGACCATGCGAGTGAAGGTCGGCGCGCCGACCGGTGATTGGCTAGGGAGGCTGAAGAGCCGCGAGGGAAGGGGGCGGGAAGGCTTCGGGCGGTGCGTCAAGTTCGGCTGCGCTCGGTCGCTCTCGGGGCCAATCAGGGCGCTTTGGGGGGCCTCGCCGGGCGGAGCCTCTTAAAGGGCCAGTAGAACAGGCGGGACTCCTCCAATCCGGTTTTAAGGCGAGATACCCCGCCCCTGACGGATCAGAGGACCGGCGCATCCGGGTCGGGCCCCGCCCCTGTTGCCATGGGGACAGCGGTAGGTTGCTAAGGAAGGCGTTAAGGTCCTTGGAGACAGCCCCCTGCACCTGGGAAGGTGAGATCTGTTCTGAGCGTCCTGCAAAAAACCTGCGGGCAGGAGTTTCCCAGTTACTCTCTCGGCTTGGAGCTCTGACGGCCTGCAGTACCTGGCTCTGCCCCTAAGGCCTCCTGGGACATTGGGGGCATTGTCCCAAGCCCAGAACCGACTCCAGAGTGCTGTGAAGTTGGAAGCAAGTGGAAAACGATGGAAAGCTGTGAGCCTGCAAGGCACGGAGGGGCAGCCCGGCTCGCTCCACGTGATTTGGGCAGGGGCTTCCCCTGCTCCCAGGGGGCCAGTGGCAATCACTGGGTGTTCGTCATCCCATTAGATCCTAGACAATCAGCTCACGTCATCACTCTGCCGTACCCTTCCTGCTCACTCCACTCCAACCACACAACCCCTCTCCAACCCCTCCAACTCCAACCCCTCTCTGTTCCCCCAACTTGCTAGGTATTGTCCTACCTCAGGGCCTTTGCACAGGCTGTGCCTTCGGCCTGTCATGCCCTTCTCCCAGATATTGTCACCTCCTGTAGGTAAGTATCTCTGGTAGCACAGTGCCTAAGGCATTTGAATGCTAACCAGAAGGTTGGAGGTTCAAACCCACCAGCCACTCTGCAGAAGGAAGACTGGGCAATCTACTTCTGTAAAGATTTACCACCTCGGAAACCCAAAAGGGGTTGCTATGAGTTGGAATCGACTGGATAGCAGTGAGTTTGAGTAGGTCTTTGCTCAATGTCACCTCAGCGAGGCCTTCCCAGACTTGTACCCTGCCTCATACAAGCTGTCTTATTTTTTCTGTCTCCTTCATAACCTGCCTATCTGGTTCATTACTGTATTCCCAGCATCTAGAACAGTACCTACAGTAGGCTAAAAAAAAAAAAACAACTCACTGCTGTTGAGTCAATTTTGACTCATAGCGACCCCTCCTTGGGTTTCTGAGGTGGTATCTCTACAGAAGTAGATTCCCCAATCTTCCTTCCACGGAGTGCTGGTGGGTTTGAACCACCAGCCTTCTAGTTAGCAGTCAAATGCCTTAGGCACTACGCCAGCAGAGCTCCCCCACGTAGGTAGTCCTGAGTAATTGAATGATCCTGTAAATTTCTAAGAGGCAGCCACAGCTGCAAGGGTCCCCTGGATGGCACAGATGAGTTAAGTGCTCAAGGACAAAGCAAAAGATTGGAGGTTCAAGCCCACCAGAGGTGCTTCACAAGACAAACCTGGCCATGTGCTTTGGAAAGGTCACAGCCTTGCCAATGCTGTGGAGCTCACTTCTACTCTGCACACACAGGGTTGCCACCAGGAGTCAGAGTTGACACAACAGCAACTTACAGCAAGAGGTGCAGCTGCTATGGAATAACTCTGGCAGTTCCCTGAAAGCTTGAACACGGAGTTAGCTCATGGCCAGAAATTCGGCTGCTAGGTGTCTGCCAAGAGAAATGAAAAGATGTGTCCACCCAAAAACTGGCACACAGATGTCCACAGGAGCCAAAAGGTGGAGACACCGCAAGTGTCCGTGCACAGATGAGGATAAACACAAGGTGGTCCATCCCCACGGTGGGATGGTACTTCATCCACACAAAGGAATGGAGCTCTGATGCACACTACCACATGGATGAACCTTGAATACATCATGCTTTGTGAAAGAAGACAGACACAAAAGACCACATACAGTCCGACTGTGTTTAATGCACAAGACAGGCAAATCCAGAGACAGGAAGTGGACACATGGATGGCTAAGGGCTGGGGAGGAGAGACAGCCTGAGGTGACTGCTAACGGCCATGGGTTTTTTGGGTGGTGAAGAAAATGTTCTAAAATTACCTGTGGGGATGATGGCACAACTCCATGGATGTACCCTAAAACCCACTGGCCTGGAATTTTACATGGGTGAATTATATGTCGTGTGAATTAAATCTCAATAAACCTCATGTGATTTTACAAGTGTCCCTGGAATCCTAAAGACCCAGAGTCCAGCTTCCACTCTTGCTTCATGGACCCTGGGATGCCCCACGCCCCCTTTGCCTCTCTGCTCAGTGAGAAATGGCCCAAGTGTCCGTCACCAGATGGACAGACGAACCCAGTGGGGTTCATGCGTACGATGGAATGTGATTCCATAGGAACGAAGTCCTGAAACGTGCTGCACGGAGATGAACCTCGCAAACCTGCTGCAGGGGAGAAAGACACACTGTGTGATCCCACTGCTGTCAGGTGCCCAGAACAGGCAAATGCATGGAGACCAGCGCTGGTCAGCGGGTGTGGGGGTGGATGGCAGGGGAGAGGGACATTCTTGCTCACAGGGCACTGAGTTGCTGTGAAGGGCAAGGAGAGAGTGTAGGGAAGGGTCGAGATGATGGTGGCACATTGTGGTGAATGTCCCTGTACTATACCTACAGAAATGATGGAAATGGCAAATGTTTCATTATATGTGATGGTTAAGGTTGTGCGTCAGCTTGGCTGGGCCATGGTTTGGCAGTTATGTTGTAGTCATCCCCTGTGAGGAAACCTGATATAGCGCAATCACTTCCATGAGGAGATCAGCCAATCAGTTGAAAGAGGGTTTCCTTGGGGGTGTGACCTGCTTCTAATATATATGGACATCCTGGCAAGGATCTCTGGCTATGTGCTGGGTCTGCAGTCCTTGAACTTGAACCAATGGCCTACCAGATTGTCTGCTGATCTTGAGATTATTGCCTTCTCAGCCTGGCAGTCAGTGGCCTGCCACGTTACCTGCTGCTCTTGAATTCCTCAGCCTCCGCAGCCATCAGCCTGCTGTATTGCCTGCTGAGCTTGGGTTCCTCAGCCCTTGCAGCTGCGTGAGTCAGAGGAGGCCTCCAGCCTGACATCTGACCACAGAGTTGGGACTTGCCAAACCTCTACCACCTCCTGAGACATTTCCTTGAGATAAAGTCTCTCTCTAAGTTTCACTGGGTTTGCTTCTCTAGAGAACCCAGTCTAAGACATTATATATATTTTACCACAATTATTGGGAAAAAAAAAAAAAAATCTAGTGAGACCTCCAGAAAGCCAAATGCATTTGGAACCCTGCCTCTTTGGCTTGATTAACAAGGCTGGTGTTGCCATAGAAACAAGACAACAGAAATGTGCAAAGATTTCAGGGAATTTCCTGCTCATCAAAAAAAAAAGAAAGAAAGAAAGAAAGAAAAAGTAGAGTTTTGAGGATGATGTTGTTTAACATCATTTAACTCAATATTTTCCAAATTTTTGTGACCTTCTCCTTGCTGTCAAGTTGACTCCAACTCATAGTGACCCTACAGGGCACAGTAGAACTGTCATAGGGTTTCCAAGGCCATAATCTTTAGGGAAGTAGACTGCCTCACTTTTCTCCCGTGAAGCGGCACGTGGGCTCAAACAGCCATCTTTTTGGTTGGCATCCGAGCGCTTCAATCACTATGTCACCTGGGCTCCTTGAGGTTGGTTTTATTTATTTATTTATTTATTTTTTATTAGGATTTGGGTGAAGATTTACAGAGTAAATTCACTTTTCATACAGCAGTTCACATATACTTTGTCTCATGTCATTGA